AACAATTACAGATAGATCTATCATACGACCCAGCTATTCCACTGCTGGGAATATATCCGGAGGAATGGAAGTCATGCTGAACAGATACCTGTACTCCCATGTTTACTGCAGCACTATTTACAATAGCCAAGAGTTGGAACCAGCCCAAATGTCCATCATCGATGAGTGGATAGGGAAACTGTGGTATATCTACACAATGGAATACTACTCTGCTATAAGAAAGAATGAAATACTACCATTCGCAACAACATGGATGGACTTAGAGAAAATTATATTAAGTGAAACAAGTCAGCATAGAAGGGGAAATACCACATGTTCTCACTTATTTATGGGAGCTAAAAATAAGTAAATAAATAAATATACAAACAAAGGGTGAGAGGGGAAGAAGACACAACAATCACAATTCCTTGAACTTGTTAAGACAATTTAACAGATGAGATGTAGTGGGGGGAGGAGGGTAGAGAGGAAGTGGGGAAAGAGGAACGGGTAAAGGGACACAAAAATCAACTACAATGTATATTGAGAGGTTAAAATAAAAAAAAAAGGTAATCATCAAAATTTTGATTCTAGCAACAAAGAATTTAGGAAAAATATGATCCAAGGTGCTACCCCATATCCTTGTTCATATTTGGAGCTGTTCTCTTTTTAGCTAGGTCTACAGGTGTCTGTAGCTGAAATTTAGCAAGGATGATGTTCTCTACTAATGACCCAGAGGAGCCTGTTGCCCTCAGAGGTCTTCCCTTGATAGTAGGGGAGGAGCCTGGAAGGATAAATTGTAGGAAATGGACCAGGATGTAGAGACACGTTTGCACCCTTTATAGAAGCATACATGGCTTGTGTAGAAAAATCCACAGGATGAATTCATAGGATAAGAGATTGGAGGTGCAAGATAATTGGTCTACTAGAAGAAAACATAAAAAGTGAGTGGTTGGGGGGGCGGCCCATGGCTCACTCGGGAGAGTGCGGTGCTGATAACACCAAGGCCCCGGGTTCGGATCCCATATAGGGATGGCCGGTTCACTCACTGGGTGAGTGTGGTGCTGACAACACCAAGTCAAGGGTTAAGATCCCCTTACTGGTCATCTTTAAAAAAAAAAAAAAAAAAAAAA